CTTGATGTTGATTTCTAATTTCATTCTGCTTTAATATGAAAAGTTAACATGATTGCAGTTTTAAAAAATTCATTTAGGCTTGTTTTATGGCTTAACATTATATTCTGTCTTGGAGAATGTTCCATATGCTGATGAGAAGAATGTGTAGTTTGTAGTTGTAGGGTACATAGAATGTTCCATAAATGTCTGTTAGGTCCAATTTAAGTCCAACATTTCTTTGTTGATTTTCTTTCTCAATTATCTATCTAGTGCTATGAGTTTGGTGTTGACATCCTCTATTTTGTATTGCTGTCTCTGTCTTTAGCTCTAATAATATTTGTTTTATGAATCTACATGCTCCAGTGTTAGGTGTATATACATTTAGGATTGTTATATCCTCTTGCTCAATTGATCTTTTTATCATTATATCCTGAACTTCTTTGTCTTTTTCTTCTTTGCTGTTTTTGATTTGAAGTCTATTTTACCTGACATAAGTATAGCTATTCCTGTTCATTTTGGTTTTCCATTTGCATGAATATTTTTTCTCACCCCTTTACTTTTAGACTATATGTTTCTTACAGATGAGTTTCTTATAAACAGCATATGTATGGATCTGCCTTAATCTATTCTGCCAATCAATGAAACATTTAATCTATTTACATTCAAAATTGATATGGGAGGTTTCATTTCTGTCATATTAATTGTTATCTAGTTATTCTGTAAAGTCTTTGTTTCTTTTTCTCTATTCATCTATGCTTTGATGGAATTGTTGTCTAGCCATTTGATTCTTTTCTTCCTTTGTGTGACTATTTTATGAGACCTATGAATTTTATACTTTTGTGTGTTTTTATGATGGTGAATATTAACCTTTTGTTTCCATATTTAGGATTCTTTGGGGCATTTCTTGTAGGGCCAGTCTAGTGATGACAAAATTTCCTCAGTGTTTGCTTTTCTGGGAAAGACTTTATTTCTGCTTCATTTGTAGTTTCATCTAACTAGATATATTGCGGCTGGCAGCTTTTCTTTTCTTTCAGCACTTTGAAAACACTATCCCATTCTAATCTGGTTTGTAAGGTTTCTATTGAAAAGTCTACTGTTAGTTTGATGGGATTTCCTTTACAGGTGACTAGATGCTTTTCTAGACTTGCTGGTTTTTAAAACCTTTTTTCCTTCATGTTGACTTTAGATATTCTTTTTTTTTTTTTTTCTTTTTTTTATTGAACGGTAACTATGTACATTAATGCACTTCTGGGGTACAGTGTGGGGTTTTCACATGCAATCTGAAATACTTCCATCTGGTGAACACAGCCTTCATGTCATTTTCTCAGTTATTGCTTTAAAACATTCACATTCTACTCTTAGAAAGATTCACCTGTACCCCTATAAGGTAAACCTCAGAAGTAATCCCTCCAGACTTTAGATATTCTGATGACAACATGCCACGATACAGTCTACTTTTCAGTTTGTTTTCCTGGGGATTATTGGGCCTCCTATACCTAGATAACTAAATTCTTGCTAGACTTGGGAAGTTTTCAACAATTATCTACTTGAATAGATTTTCTAAACTTAATTGATTTTTCTTTTCCCTTGGGAATACTGTTAACTCATAAATTCAATTGCCTTATGAAGTCCCATGTGTTTCAAAGGCCTTGTTCATTCTTTCTTTTTCCTTTATTTTTATCTAACTGTATTATTTTAAAAGTTCTATCTTCAAGCTCTGAAATTCTTTCCTCTGTTTGCTCTATTAATTGAAATACTCAAGATTTTATAATTTCTTCAATGAAATTTTTTAATTTCGGGATTTCTATGTGTTTGTTTTTTTTTTTTTTTTAGACAGGGTCTCACTATGTTGCCCTGGATAGAGTGCCGTAGCGTCAGAGCTCACAGCAACTTCAGACCCTTGGGCTTAAACAATTCTCTTGCTTCAGCCTCCAAAGTAGCTGGGACTATAGGCGCCTGCCACAATATCCGGCTATTTTTTGTTGCAGTTGTCATTGTTGTTTAGGAGGCCTAGGCTGGGTTTGAACCCGCTAGCCTCCGTGTATGTGGCTAGCACTGTAACCACTTGGGCTACGGGCACAGAGCCTGTTTGGGTTTTTTAGATATCTTTCTCATTGTAAACTTCTCATTCATATCCTGATTTTCTGATTTATTTTTGCCTGTTTCCAGATTGTCTTGCATTTCATTGATCTTGATTAAAATCAATATTTTGAATTCTTTATATGACATTTCAAGGGTTTCTTTTGGTTAAGATTTGTTGCTAGAGAATTATTGTATTCCTTTGAGGGTGTAATTATACCTTGTTTTTTTAATACTTCTTATATCTTTACATTATTTTCTGCCCATCTGGAGCAAGGGCCACTCATTATTTTTGAATATACTTTTGTTAGGGGCACTTTCTCTTTTGAATAGGGCTCTTTGCCTTTGCTTTTTCATGTTTATAGTGGTTTATTCAGTTATAAGTAGCCTTACTGTGGCAGCTTTCCCAAATGCCAGCTGTAGTGGTGGTGAGTGAGTGGGCACATAGCCTTCTGAGCAGCTGGGTGGCATGGGCAAGGAGGTAGCAGTGGTTCTACAAAGCTCTTCTTACTTCTTACTTCTGAGTGCTGTGTCAGCAGTTGTTGTAATGGGCCGTGCAGGCCAGCCCAGGGCCAGGAGGTGGTACTAGCCAGCTGCAGCATTAGCGGTATGGTTTATGGTTGACCTCTGTTACCTGTGAAGGTGGTCATGTGTCCCAGGTGGTGGGTTGAGTCATGGAAGCTGTCCCTCAGGCCCCTGGCAAAACATTTGGGTGAAGGATGACTGCTAGTACACTAAGGTCTCAGTCCTGGGAGAGAGGGGCAGTTCCAGAGCCACAGCCATGGCCAGCAAGAGTGACCCTTTATATCTTGGGCATTCCTCTCATGCCTTAGCCCTGATGGTGCTTGCCCCTTGGTTTCAATAGTGGCAGCCAGTCAGGGTATACAGTTAGTCACCATGGTTTTCTTCTAGTCTACAATGCTTTGAGCCAAGGGGTTACCACTCAGGTCAATGCCACACCTCCCGGGCAACTGTCCTCATGCTCTGGTCTGAGGGAGGACTCAGCTCCAGTATCAGTGGCTAAAGCCTGTGCTATACCTGTTCCTCAGTTCACCTGAGGGCCAGTTTCCTGGGCCCAGTCTGAGTCTCTCTAATTTCACATTGCTTCTAGCTCCTAGGACCCCATGTGGCTTTCTAAGAGGTGGGATCAAGAGTGGCATCCTCCTGGCATGCCTCCAGGTCTGGAAGTACATGGATACTCCCAGAGCAGTTCCATCTCACAGTCACAGCCACTTTCCAAATTAGAGCCAGGGCTCAGAGGGTCCAGGTGCTTCCCCAGCGCCTGGGTTGCACAGTGCTCTGGAGGAAACATGAACCACGGAAGTACTCCCTCATCCTGTCCTGTAGCAGGAGCCCACTCCCCACTGTCAGCTGGTCCAGCCACACAGGCTGCCCACCCTCTTTTTTTTTTTTTTTTTTGAGACAGAGCCTCAAGCTTTCCCCCTGGGTAGAGTGCCATGACATCACAGCTCACAACAACCTCCAACTCCTGGGCTCAAGTGAGTCTCCTGCCTCCACCTCCCAAGTAGCTGGGACCACAGGTGCTCGCCACAACGCCTGGCTATTTTTTGGTTGCAGCCGTCATTGTTGTTTGGCAGCCTGGGCTGGATTTGAACCCGCCACCTTAGGTGTATGTGGCTGGCACCTTATGCCCACCCTCTTCTTACCCAGTCTGACTTGTCTTTTGTTTTTATGTGGAATTCCTGTTTTCCTTTTTGGATAAGTATTCAAAGTTTGGTTGTCTACACACTATTTTGGTTCTTCTGAGTGGATGAGACATTCTGGAAAAGTTTGCTTAGTGATCTAGGAAAGAAACCAGCATTCCTACACAATTCATACCATCCATTACAGGCTTCAGGCATCCCACACCCTCTTTGTGATGCTTTACATGTCTTACATTTGATGCCACATGTGTTCGTTATGGTTCAGGTGGGTGTCTTGGAGTGCTCTGGCCCCATTCTAGGCCTTGACTTCTTGAATTTCCCAGAAGTAAAATAATATGGTCATATTTTATTTCCTTAGACCATCCAGGAAGTTGCTGGTTACGTCCTCATTGCCCTCAACACAGTGGAGAGGATTCCTTTGGAAAACCTTCAGATCATCAGAGGAAATATGTACTATGAGAACTCATATGCCCTGGCAGTCTTATCCAACTATGGCACAAACAAATCCGGACTGAGGGAGCTGCCCATGAGGAGCTTGCAGGGTGAGTGGTGTGCATGGCACAGGGGCTGTAAGTGTACTCAGTGAGCCCATCACTTTCCTTAACTCCCTCTCAGAGAGGACTTTTATTCATCAAAGACACATGTATTGAGTGCCAGCTGTGTTTGAGAAACAAAGGTGCAAGCTTCTCAGAAGATAGTAGGCAGTGGGATGGGGATGGGTAATTAGGCCAGGTATCAGTTCTTCCATGGACCTGGAGGAAAATCCAGAAAGTTAGTAAGAAATGGTAAAGATTGTGGGTAAAAGTGTGTGACGAGGATGAATTAAATTGCAGCCCTATTCCGCAGTCCTCAGAAGTGAAAGACACACATTGAAGATCAGCCCAGTTTCAGGCAGTTCCAGGAGCAGTGCTATGGTGTGGAAAGCCAGCATAAGTTAAGGACAGGAGGGAAGGTATTGTGGAAGAGAAGGTGGAAAGATAGTAGGAGAAAGAGAAAGTTGACAAGGTCAGTCACTGTGCCCCATGATGGGGTAGGTTTGCGGCCAGGAATGTTAAATTAGTAACTTTATTTAAAGGCTGCAACTATCCTTCAAAGTATCCATTGTACCAATGCTTCTTGACTTACGAATCTGGATAAACCCATCACAGGCTGAAAATACTATAAATCAGATTTGGCAGCATACTGAATATGTATTGCATTCACACCATGGTAGAGTAAAAAATTCTAAGTAGAACCATGTTACCATGGCTGGGAACTGTGTGCTCTACCATTTTCCAAATAAACAAACGGCAGCAAATTAACTACCCCAAGGCCCCAGCCTAGTGGATAGAGAAATCAGCAGCACCAGATTCCTCCCAGGGCTGCTGCTGCCCTGCCCACATGCCACACAGTTTGACAGGGAGCAGGGCTGGCAAGGAGGGTCCCCAGGAACAGGGGGTACCAAATAGGTTCACCACAGGGGCCCAGTGGGTACAGCTAGCCACTCAGACCCAGCTAGCCACTCAGGCCCGGCTGGCCGCTCAGACCCTGCTAGCCACTCCCCTGTGTGGCTACTGGGCTTGCCAGCCTAGAAAACTGCCTTGAGAATTCCCACCCCTCAGTTTAACCGTTCATAGCATCCAAGTGAGTTTGTGCTAGTGCTAACGGGTACTGTATGACCATGCTGTGAAGTGGCTGTCACACAGGGTCCCTGGGTCTGCCTCACCCAGCACCATACAGAGAGATAGCTCATGTGGCACTCCCTAGGCCCAGCTTTGACCCCTTTCCTGGCCCCGTGATCTGTTGTTTTGTTGCCATAGCTGCCTGGATTTCCTGTCTGCTTCTGCAGCCCTAACCTCTCTTTAGTCTCCACTTACCCAGTAGCAGAGCACATACCTCACACACAAGGCACCAAGATGTGGCCCTATGGCCTCCCAGCCTTCTCACCTCTATTGCTTTGTTCTCTACCATCCACTGTGGAAAGCATCCACTTCCCCTCCACTCCAGGCCCTGGGTCTCCTGTGCATGAGAACCCCTCAGACCCTCACCTTCTAAAATGTGTGCCTGTCTGGGTTCCGGAAAATCTCCTCAACAACAGCCTCCCAGATCTTCCCAAGCTGAATCCTTCCTTTTCCTTGAGGCACATCCATTCCTCATCTGGGGGCATTATCTTCTGTATGTAAGGTTTTTGTGTTTCTGTGTTTAAATGATAGCTACTGAGCATCATGAGGATTAACCAGGATGACGCTTATGAGTCCACTGGCACAGTGCCGGGCCTAGTTGCTGTCACGGGCCTCTCACAGGCATGGGGCCGTTAAACTGTGTGCTACATCTGTCCCGGTACCTGTCATTCTTGGAGAGAGCCCAGCAGGTACAGCTGGCTCCTGCCGACCCTGCAGTGCAGGCACAGGGCCTGCACCAAGATACTGCGTTCACATCCATGATAGTGCCATCAACGCAAGCATGTACTCCCTGTGTGCAGCTGGCTTTCGTTTCCAACTTTTTCATGTCCTCTCAGTTCTTCCTTGGAAAGAATTGTAGGACATCATAGATTCTTGTATCCATTGTGGCCTGTCTCTGGTCATGCGGAATCTTCTTGCTTCACTCTACTCGCTCACCTGTTTCTAGCGGGTCCTCCAGAGGTCTGGGAAGCCCGTGTGCTGCAAGCTGCTGCCCCCCCCAGACCCCCTTCCAGCCCACTGCACCCCATGGGCACCTGCCCCCTAGCCTGTCTGCGCTCTGCACAGCGGCTGCTGCGGCCCTGGGACCAGCCCCAGGAGCACCTTCCCCACCTTCGCCCATGTGTGCCCACCGGCTAATCCGTTCTCCTCCCCCTCCGTGCCAGTGTATCTCTAATCCTTGTTTAGGGCTTGGTTCTGAAAACAGCCTGACTCCTCTTCCTCTGCCATCTCCCCAGGGAAGCTCTCACAGGTCTCACCTTAGCATGTCTGGCAGGCTGTCATCTTTTTAGCAGTTGTAAAGAAATATAAAGAAAAGTGCATAGTTGGCGAGCATCGAGGCAGCAGGCGGGCTGCTCAGGTGTCTCCTTGTCGTGCAGAGGTCCTGCAGGGCGCGGTGCGTTTCAGCAACAACCCGGTCCTCTGCAACGTGGACTCCATCCAGTGGCGGGACATCATCAGCAGCGACTTCCTGAGCAACATGTCCATGGACTTTCAGAGCCACCTGGGCAGCTGTAAGTGTTGTGCTCTCTCTGCCTCCAGCTGTGCGGTGTGGAGTGTGGAGGTACGGTTAGTATCTGGTCATGTTACTCTGAAACAAAAGAAATTGCAAGCAAAATACCTGCCGACTGGAAGAACATTTATTTAAGAAAAAGGTGAAAGTCAGTTTTCAACGTGTGAGTTAGCCCTCTTGCTGGCCGGGTAGATCTCCCTGGGCAGCAGAGCCCACCTGTGGCCTTAAGAGGTGCCGCAGTGGCCTGTCAGGTGTCTCTGGAGTGGAGGTCCTCCTGACACCGGGGGCTTCTCCATCCAGCCTCTGAGAGACGGGCTGAGGCCTTGGGACCTGGGCCTTGCTATGGAGTCATGCAGTGCCCAGGCCCACCTGACACCCAGGGCTGCTCTGCCCTCTGGCTACCAGTGTAAGCACTCCCTAGAGGAGCTGCAGGCAAGCGTGAGTACAGGCATGGGCGGGAAGTCTGTCCGTATTTCCCTGAATGCTGGTGACCTAGCCCCTGCTGTGCTTGTGGGTGACAGCTGGCAGAGGAGGCTTGGCGGGGCAGGCTGTGTGGAGACCCAGCCCTGCTCTGCAGTCCCAGGGCACTGGGCCCTGGCTTGGTTTTTGCTTTCAAAGAAAATGGAGCTGCCAGAACCTTCAGAGTCATCAACCAGAGCCCTTCGGGCTGTTATTTACTTGTTTTATTTTTATTTCATTTATTTGTTAATTTATTGTGATGAAATACTTATAAGATTTATCATCCCAACAGTTTTCAAGTCCACAGTGAGGGCACGTTTGTACTCTTGTGTGACCATCACCAGCACCCAGGCACAGAACTGGGTACATGACAAGCTCTGCACTGTGCCTCGTGACTCCCTGTCCTTCTTCCTCTGCAAGCTTTGCCCTTGGCAGGCTTTCCACTTTCTGTCTCTGTGAATTGAGTACTCTGGGGTCCTTGTAGAGGTGTTGTCACACAGTAGCTGTCCTTTTATGTTCGGCTTATTTCACCTACCTAGCAAAATGTCCTCAGGATTCACCACATGGTGGCTGTGTCGGTGACTTGGGTGGGAGAAGCCCTTGAGCTCAGGAGTTCGAGACCAGTCTGAACAAGAACAAGACCCCATCTCTACTAAAAATAGAAAAGCTAGCCAGCATTGTGGCAAGTTCCTGTAGTCCCAGCTACTTGGGAAGTTGAGGCTAGAGGGTTGCTTGAACTCAGGAGTCTCAGGTTTCTGTGAGCTATGATGCCACAGCACTCTACCCAGGCTGACAGAGTGAGACAGTGTCTCCAAAAAAAGATAGGCTTGGTGCTTGTAGCTCAGTGGCTAAGGTGCTGGCCACATACAGTGAGGCTGGCGGGTTCGAACCCGGCCGGGGCCTCCCAAACAACAATGACAACAACGACAAAAATAGCTGGGCGTTGTGGTAGAAGCCTGTAGTCCCAGCTACTTGGGAGACAGAGGCAAAAGAATAATTGCATAAGCCTTAAGAGTTTGAGGTTGCTATAAGCTGTGATGCCACGGCACTCTATCAAGGGCAACATAGACTCTGCCTCCAAAAAAAAAAAAAATTTTCACTCCCTTTTATAACTGGATAGTATCCCAATGTGTGTTTATACCACATTTTGTCCATACATCCATCCATCAATGGACACTTGAGTTGCTTTCATCTTCCAGTTGTTTGAATACTGCTTCTATGTACATTCATATTAAGCCCCTTTTCCTTATTATTATTCCACCTGATACCCATCCTACTACGTTTGCAAGAAACTGAAAGCTGTATTTCACAGTGCAAAATTTTGTGTTATTTATTTTCTCAGCTATTAGGCAGATGATGGGGAGATTAAAGTATGCACATTTATTTTCAAGAAAGCAGACACAGAGGCTTGGTGCCTGTGGCTCAAGTAGCTAAGGCACTAGCCACATACACCTGAGGTGGCGGGTTCGAGTCCAGCCTGGGCCTACCAAACAACAATGACGGCTACAACCAAAAAATAGCCGGGCATTGTGGCGGGCACCTGTGGTCCCAGCTACTTGGGAGGCTGAGGCAGAAGACTCACTTAAGCCCAGGAGTTGAAGGTTGCTGTGAGCAGTGAAGCCACAGCACTCTACCCAGGGGGACAGCTTGAGGCTCTGTCTCAAAAAAAGACCCAGAAAGGGTATGAGGCTGATGAGTTTGCCCTGGATCAGCTTAATAGCCCCAAAGAGCATCTCTTCTCCCCCTCACGGCCATGGGAAAGACCCACCAAGAACATGCTGGAAAGTACGATGGACTGGCTCATTTAACAGAAGGATTCAGATATTCCAGGGCTTTGAACTATAAGCCAGTGTGGTATTGTTCAAGAACAGACGTATAAGAATAAGCCTAACTAAATCCAAAGTCCATAAAGGACTTTGCTAAGCAAAGAAGGCTAATAAGGGAAGAACTCATTTTTCAACAAATTCTTCTGGAATGACTAAACTATTAGGGGGAATAGCGAAGTGACAGGAATATGAAGCATTTTTTAAAAAGAAACTAGGGCTACTGAGTTAGGTGCACTGTAAAGTACAGAACCACCATCCACCTGAAACCTGGACTTTCCTTGTCATTCACCTGAGTGGTGGCAAGTAAGGACACCTGCCGCTGTTCTCAGAGATGGGATCCTTGACAGGTGTTTGCTGGGACATATTCCTTCCTGCTGAGAACTATCTTATTTAATCCTTACCCAGAAAAATTCTCATGTGATGATTTAAGTGTTCTGTGGACAAGGTGTGTGAGACTCGGAGAAGTTAAACAGTGTGCCCAGCAATGTGTTTAAGTTTGGGATTTGGAGTTAGAATGAATAGGTTTATTTAAGAGGAAATTAAAATAGATCCATCATGAACTCCATATGATACAAATCCCAAATATATACTACTTATTAAATACATGTAATAAAATAATTATAATATATTTAAGTGCTAGAAGGAGACATAAAGATGAATGTTTATAGTACCAAGTTGAAGAAAGCCCCGAACCAGATACCATAAAAGAAAATGCCTGTGTGAAAAAATGTTAATGGTGACTAGGAAAATACTGTACAAGGTCTGATTACCGTTACATTACATGGTAAGGATATTAACCATCCCTCTTGTAAGTCCCTAAAGTAGTCTTAAGAAGTCTAAGAAAAAGATGATGCTCCTGATGGAAACTTTGGCCCTGGACATCAGCAGGCCTCACACACACACACTAAAATGGCCAAGAAGTAAAATAAAATGCTGTTTCTACTGTAATGAAAAGGAGATCAAAATAAAATAAGAAAACATAATTTTTGCCTTTGCTAAATATTAATATTTGTGTCCCTTTCAATTTTCAAACACCCAGGTCAGCCAGCATGTGGAGAAACAGAAATTCTAATGTTCCTCTTGCAGGCATAGGAAGTAATGAACCCAGCTAGGAACACACCTGCAGTATGCACCCAAAGCTTTCAAGTATGCATACCTGTGACCCATCAGTATCATGCCTAGAAATAATAGAAAAAAGAAACAGAGAAGTAAAAATCATAAGAGATACTTAAGAAAAACGTTTTTTATATAAGAACATACCTTTGCAACCTTATATATAATACATTTTGCAAAAAATTATATGCATATATGTAAAAGATTAGTTAAATAAAGTATGGTATAATCATTCTACCATCATGCTAGGTAGAAGGATAAAGACATGGAAAATTTTTCACACTTGATTAGATTTTTATTTTTTTGAGACAGATCCTCAAGCTGTCCCCCTGGGTAGAGTGCCGTGGCATTACAGCTCACAGCAACCTCCAGCTCCTGGGCTCAAGCGAGTCTCCTGCCTCCGCCTCCCAAGTAGCTGGGACCACAGGTGCCTGCCACAACGCCCGGCTGTTTTTTGGTTGCAGCCGTCATTGTTGTTTGGCGGGTCTGGTCTGGGGATTCGAACCCGCCACCTTAGGTGTACGTGGCTGGCACCTTAGCCGGTTGAGCTATAGGCGCCGAGCCTTGATTAGATATTTTAAGGTAATAATACAAAGTATAGTGTAATTCCAAGTCTTATATTTTTACATATTTATATGTCTGTATTGGTTACCTCTAAGTGATTCTCATTTCTTCTTCCTGCTTTTTTGAGCTATCCATATTTTATACAGTGTGTCTGCATTTCTTTTATTGTCAAAGAAGGTTAATAATAGAATAATAAATAGAAATGTTCCCCCATTAAAGAAAGATGAATTTTTATTTCAAATATTTTTCTTTTATATACCTATTACATGCTTATAATAGAAATTTGAAAAATGTGTTTATGTATAGGATAAAAAGTAAAAATAACAAACACAACTGCTTTTAACATTTCTAAGTATTACTTCTGCTCTTTTGGATTCTGCTCCCCTTTCGCTGTCTCTCTTTGTGTTCCTTTCTCTCTGACTCTGTCTCTCTCTGTGTCTCTCTGTCAGTCTCTGTCTCTCCGTCCTCTCTCTCTGTCTCTCTCAGTCTCTACACCCATCTTTGCACAGCACACGTCCTGCAGTGCCATCGAGGTCTGGCTTTCCCACCTCTTGTGACTCTTATGAGTCCCAGCCTGGCATTACATTCTCCTCCCCAGTGGTGACTATAAACATTTCCAGTTGCATTCCAGGGATATTCTGGCTTACTAGTCACTTGGCACGTTATCAACTCTTCTGTTCAGAATCTACATTCTCCCAGAGATAAATTCCTCCTGACTGCAGCAGACTTTAGTATGTGTTAACTCCTTTAGCTTGCTATGTCTTTGTGGTAAAAGATATTTGCACAGTGGACCTCTTAACAAATTTGTTGCCCACTGGGGTCTCTTCATATAAATATAACATTTAATCTTCAGATTTCTCAACACTAATAATGAGAAAATACAACTGATGAGAGTGAACACCTTTTAGCTGTCATTTGTGGTTGAGCAAATTTTTAAAGCTACAGAAATTGATTGACCAATTGCAGATATTCAGACAGCAGCTTATAAACAGATAGCTAGAGTTTTAGCTTTCTGATCCACAGAAAGATTCATACCACTGCACCCTTCCTGCAGCACCCTGTGCCCCTCACTGGTTTGAGGTCTAGGAGGTTTTGTTTAGGATTTAGCAACCCCAGGAAGACAGGCACTCACAGCCACTGGAGCCTGGACATAGCAGGAGCTGGTGGGCTCATGCCAAGGGCCGGGCCAGATCAGACATCTAGCACTGAAGTGGGAGACTCTCTGAGCCTAAGCAAATTGTAAACATGGACCTCAGTTGACTTGAATCCCTGTGTACCTGGCCTATGACAGTGTTTACTCTCTGCCTCAGTTTTCACAGCTGAAATGTAAATGAAGGCAATGCGTGGCTCATCTTCCCTTCCTATGGATATCCTTTAATCTCTCTGTAAACCTACATTCAGACAAACAATAAGAGATTTGAAGCTATTCCTTGTTTACAGAACTTTGCTTACCTCAGGGCCCCAGGAGTGGCCTCCTGAGTTTCTTGTCATTCATTCTCTTTAGCCTAGATACCGCCTTAACTACTACTTTCCCGTTACAGGCCAGACATGTGATCCGAGCTGTCCCAATGGGAGCTGCTGGGGTGCAGGGAAGGAGAACTGCCAGAAATGTGAGTCAGAGAACAGTCCCTGTGCCCAGGTGGCCACTCCCCCTCAACCCCACCCCCACCCTCACCCCCCAGCACAGGTGATTGGATTGTATTCCCTTCCAAGACAACACAAAGCTCTTTGGTCACAGGGCCAGATGTTAGCAGTCCTGCAGATCTCACTGTATGCAGTTAATCCAGGGCCGCCTACTTTTGGCACTTGAGCCTGTCATACCCAAGGGAATGCCAGGCCCTGTAGCCAGCCGTGCCTTCTAACAATGCTTGGCAGGTTTTCTTGGGAGCAGAAGGCTCTGCTGACATGCGCTACCACCTTTCCCGCCCAGTTCCTTGGTGCCCACCTTTGCCAAAGTCTGAACCACATTTCTCAAGAGTGCTTTTCTGCGGGAGCCCTGTCTGGGGACACTTTGCCTGAGAATGGTTGCCTGGCTCAGGGTCTCAGTGGTCAAGGAATCTGGGGACATGTCAGCTTTAATACTGGCCATCTGTCCTCAAATCTAATTATGGCATGGCTATTATGCCTGTTTGAGCACTGCTTCCTGCAATACTTTTGTTATTTGTATGTTCTTCCTGCAATGTCCAGAGCTTGGTTCTAACTAGGACCTAATTAACTAGCAGGACTGAAAGTCTGGACTTGATCTGCTTAGTTCTCTTAAGTGATTAAAAGTAAATTGAGGGGTAGAAGAGGCACAGGAGAGGTTGGGATTTGGCTTAGCTGGGCGAAGTGTGCATGCCAAGGGGCTCTCACAGGCAGGCCCTTTGCTTCACTCTCTCCTCCACTGTTTACAAGTGCTCTGTGGCATCCCTTCGAAATGACCATCCCTCATTCTAACCTCATGGGCATCTTTGCTCTTTTTCAGTGACCAAAGTCATCTGTGCCCAGCAGTGCTCTGGGCGCTGTCGCGGCAGGTCCCCCAGCGACTGCTGCCACAACCAGTGTGCCGCGGGCTGCACGGGGCCCCGGGAGAGCGACTGCCTGGTGAGAGGCACCTCTGTCACCCCCCACCCCCCACTGGGCTCTTGTGGGAGAAGGTGTCCCAGGAGAGGACGGGGGCATGAGTAACAATGCTTTTTTGTCAGCCTCCCCCCTATATCTGTGAGGCCTTCATACATGGTCTGTGGGACCTCCCTGTGCCTCAGTTTCCTCTGCTGACAGTGGTGGATGACAGGTCCCCCCTATTGAGTGGTATAGTGACATAAAAAGTATGGGGCCAGCACTAGGACCTGGAGCAGAGTGAGCACTCAGAGTGGAAGCTTGTGCTTGTTGTGAGGCTCACTGTGGGGAGCACCAGCATCTCATTGTGTACGGGTTCACTCAGTTCTATTTTTAGCCCAGACACTCAATATCATGGGGTCCCCCAGAGAGCCACCTGGAGCCATACAGACCTTGTGCAGCACAGCTGGCTAGGACCATGTTAGGGTCCCGATGCCGACCTCCTGCTCACTCCTGGTCCCTGCTCAGACACCTGCTGAGTGGCACCCTTGCCCCAGGGGGTCTTAGTGCTTTAGTTCTTATTACTGCCAAACGCACCAGTGAGATACTTGCTGCCCCCGGGGCCATCTTGGGGTCCTGGGAACACCAGGGCCACTAGGTGTGATCCCTGGAGTTGGTACTGAGGCTGGCCAGGTCCTCCCTGAGACAGGATCCAGGGAGGAGAAGAAACCTAAAGGCCAGCAGCTGCACCCAACCTTGGGAATTCAGCCCCACTGACCTGGGCTGATTCTCACTGCAGCTCCAGGAAGAAGGCCTGAGACTGACCTTGGTAGTGAGAGTTATTAACTGCTTTGTTTGTTCTGGCCCTTCTCACATGGTGCCCTTTTCAGACAAGGGTTTCTGCAGTTGGGTATGAATCCCAAGATGTATCCTCAGGTGCTCTCTGTAAGGGAAACCCAAGTTCAGAAATACTTCCCTCTCTAGTTGCCACCGTAATGTGCACTCACTTGTCATTTATGTATTAATAAAGAGAAATATTCTCTCAGATCATATACCTGTAAGTCAGGGTGAATAGTATATTTAAGAAAATCACAGTTTTTGAGTCTTCCTGACTCTACTGAAGATGATTTATTGGGTTTCCTACTCTAATTGGAGACCTGAGTATGAGAACTGTGTCCCAAGATTTCTGACTTGGGGCTTCCTGCACTTGTGGCACTGGTGTCCTTGCATAGTTGATGGGCTACCCCCCTCCTATGACAGGTCTGCCGCAAGTTCCGAGATGAAGCCACCTGTAAGGACACCTGCCCACCACTAATGCTGTACAACCCTACCACCTACCAGATGGATGTGAACTCTGAAGGCAAATACAGCTTTGGGGCCACGTGTGTGAAGAAGTGCCCCCGTAAGTTACTCACCTGGGAGCCCTCTGACACATCAGGCATCCTGTCCTGTCCCCTATGGGAGCCCTTACGTCCCCCACTCAGGCCAGTCTTTGGGTCCATGTGGTGTGTCTGCCTCAGTGTGGGGCAGATGAGCACGACAGGGGCGGCTCACTGCTAAGGAGCTGAAAGGCAGTGGCTGCCTCAGGCCACCAGGGTTGCCATGTTCACAGTGGCCAGGGTGTGTGACAGGAGAGGCACCTGTGGCTCAGTCTCCTCACCTGAGGTCCTTGTGCAGCAGCCCAGAGTCCTCAGCTGTGGGACAGGCCCAGAGCTGGGTCCACTGGGCTGCTTCACTGCTCAGCACTTAACCAAGCCCATGTTTATGGAGCCCATTTTTGGATTTGGCCTGCCTTCTCAGCTCTCAAAATTCTACAACAGTTGTGCCTGTTAGGGTATTGCAGAAGGCACCTGGCACTGCCTTCACGGGTCCCTCCACGGCCTCCTTCAGGTAACTACGTGGTAACAGATCATGGCTCCTGTGTCCGCGCCTGTGGCTCTGACAGCTATGAGGTGGAGGAGGATGGCATCCGCAAATGCAAAAAATGCGAGGGGCCTTGTCGCAAAGGTAGGAGGTTCCTCATCTGGGCAGGGCTCCTGTGCCCACTGCCAAATACACATACTTGACTCCTCTGATTAAAAAATAGAAACAGCTATCCACAGTGGCTCAGGCCTGTAATCCCAGCACTCCGGGAGGCCAAGGTGGGTGACTTGCCTGAGCTCATGAGTTTGAGACCAGCCTGAGCTAGAGGGAGACCCTGCCTCTAAAAATAGTCAGGTGTGGCAAACACCTATAGTCCCAGCTACTCAGGAGGCTGAGGCAGGAGGATCGTTTGAGCCCAGGAGTCTGAGGTTGCTGTGAGCTATGATGCCACAACACTTGACCAGGGCAACAAAGTAAGACTCTGTCTCAAAAAACTAAATAAATAAAATAAAAAAAAATTTAAAAAACAGATACAAAAGCTGTGTATATCGTTTCTTTAAAATAGAACGTAAAGCAGCATAGCCAAGCTAGAGAAGGCTGAGTTGGGAGCGCTGTGAGCACAAGAGTGGCCAGGAGCAGTCAGGCTGCAGCCTGAGGGGGATGGCAGGCCAACATGACCACTGAAGAACAGCACATGCTCCCACACAGCCCCAGAGCCTCCCCAGGGCCCCAGCACCCCCACCCCAGGGTCTGCCAATTGGGTGAAGGATGGGGTGGTGTGGTGGCTCTTGAGGGTAGACTTCTGCCCACTCCCCTCTGCCGTGGACCCCCAGCTATGCTTATGTCAGTACCTGAAATTGAATAAACATCTCTCTTATGTTGACAGTTTGCAATGGAATAGGAATCGGTGAATTTAAGGACACACTTTCCATAAATGCTACAAACATAAAACACTTCAGAAATTGCACCTCCATCAGCGGGGACCTCCACATCCTGCCAGTGGCTTTTAGGGGGTAAGTGGCAGGCTCAGCTACTTCTACAGGGAAAACAAAGCCTGCCTTTCTCACTAGTGGGGACTTGTCACCCATAACCACCCTGCCACTTGTTGCAGGGACTCCTTTACCCGGACCCCTCCACTGGATCCAAAGGAACTGGACATTCTGAAAACTGTGAAGGAAATCACAGGTCTGTGCTGGGATGCTGCTTGCACATCATTGGGTGATCAGTGCATTATACATATGTCTTTCTCCTTTGGCATGCAAACATTTTTTCTGAAATTCCACCATTAATGACCAGTTCTTCAATACTTTTTTAAAAAAATGCACCTTTCCCTGTATGCGAAGAGGAGCATGTGAAGCCAAAGCACAGATTGTTACCAACTGGTGTGGACGGGTCTCATCCCTCTCCCTCATCCTCCCTGTGTGCTCAGCCATCTTGCTGGGCCAGGACTCTTAACAGCAGGGGGAGAGGGGGAGGTGACATGTGGGGTCAGCATGGGCCTTCCAAAGGGAATGCCACACCACTGATGGGCCACCGGCAGCCCTGAGACCTGTGGCTCCCCCACTCTCTTCACTTCTAAGAAGGGAATAGCTAGCCAGTCTCAGTGGCTCACACCTGTAACCTCAGCACTCTGGGAGGCTGAGGCAGGAGGACTGCTTGAGCCCAGGAGTTTGAGGTTGCTGTGAGCTATGAAGATGCCATGGCACTCTATACAGGGCACAGAGTGAGACTGCTTCAGTGAAGAAAGAAAGAAAAGGAACAGTTAGACCTGAATAACAGAGTGGTTTTGAGGATTAGAATTAAATAAGGAAAATAAGGACAATTCCTCAGATGTGCTAACCAGTGAGTAACTAGCAGCTGTGTTAGCAGCAGGAGGCTGGTTGGAATCCAGAGAGGGCAGCACAATGAGTACCTGTGGGTGGACTTGGGTGGTGGGAGAGACACATGGGGGACAGGGAATTCCATGGGTCAGGCAAGTTGCCACCACAAAAAATGTGCCTTGGCTTGCACACACGCGCCATACTCAGTGAGGGTGGTAAACAGAATCAAATCCAATCAAATTTCTACATTCACTGTGCACATGAAGCCTAGAGTAATGTCTCACATAGAAAAGGGACTTCTCAGTGGGGTGTCTGAGAAGTGGGGTGCCTTCCTTCTCCTTTCTAGGGTTTTTACTGATTCAGGCTTGGCCTGAAAACAAGACAGACCTCCATGCCTTCGAGAACCTGGAAATCATCCGTGGCAGGACCAAGCAACAGTGAGTTGACAACAGCACAGCCTGGCAAGATCACTCTTTGTCTTTTCATTTTGAAGTTAGCCCTATAAGAGAGGTGCAAAGAGAGTACAGAGAGCCCCAACATGCCCTTCCCAGTCTCCCCTGATAATCATGTCTCTCGAAAGCAGGTACAAGGATCCAGAGGACAAAACCAGCGCTAGCACTGGCCTGGGGCCTGCCAGTCTCCCGTGAGCACACTCCTGCATCCCAGCCCCCAGGGTGCACAGTGCACCTAGCTGTTAAAAGCTTCTCACCCCTCCAACTTGTGTCCTGCTCACCTTTCTGGGTTGTGACACTTGTGACAAGGACAGGCCAGACATTTTGTAAACTGTTGACTGGGTGATGTTTCCTCAGACACAGATGAGATTATGCACATCACATCAGAGTGACTTGATGAACTTGTTAGCAGTAAATACCTTTGTCATGGTTTCCACTTCTCCAGCTGGTGTGGTAGTGAGCACACAGGCACACATACACTGTAAGAGCCATCATCTGATTCGTGGTGACAAGGAAAAAACAGTCTGATTATGAGAACTGTCTCCCATATCAACCCCTAAAAGGAAGATGTGATACTGTGCAATATTAAAGAAATGAGAGAACATGAAATGCCCGTTGCTTTCTATACCTGCTTTGGCCATGTGTCTCTGATCCTAGACTTACAGCCACTTCCCAGAAAGATGCTGTGCTCTGCACTCTCTGGGGACTCTGCCTGAGGTTTATACAGAATGCAGACATTTAGAGAACACTTTTCTTGGACAGCTGGTCTGTGCCACTCACCTGAGCTTTTGAAATTTAAACAAGATAAGCATCACTCACTTTCCACAATTAATGGAAAGTCCAGTGACTGTGGTCCCTTCCAAGGTAGGGTGACCGCTGGCTTTGGGGTGACTCACCAGAGCATTAGTCCTGACTGCAAGGAAGCCCCTAGTTCTGCTCTGGGTATATGTGGGAGGCCCCTGACTGTGGTGGTTACAGGTCTCCTATCCAGGGCCTCTGGCTTCTGGAAGGCTGGGGGAAGGGTATACAGAACACCAACAGGGAAGGAAGCCCGAGTGGGAACTGAACCTTCTGCCACTCAGTCTTGTGTCCTCCCTGTGCCTCTTTCCTGTAGTTCCCTTAACTACACACAACCTGAGCTCCCCCAAGGTGCACAAGGTCACCTGTGCCACCCTCCCTGTCTGCGCCACTGGGGCGCGGCTGGCACCTGTGCTTCTCACACTCACCCCATGCGTGCCTAGTCTCAGGGTCCCTCTGTCTGAACAACTTCCTTCTTGTCTCCTAAGGGGCCACCTGGAGTCCTGGCACAGTGTCAGGTGGTGAAGAAAACATTCAGCTCCTGCTCTCGGGGACTCACAGTCTGGGAATCACTTCTCAGAAGAAGCACCCCTCCCAGGCATCTTACCCAGACTATCAGAGGCACCTGTGCTATGCCCCTGTGGTGCCTATAGGCATTACACTCACACATAGGGTGAAATTGTCACCACTAGACCCAGGGTTTCTTGAGAGTGTGGAGCATATTTCACCTGTGCAAAATTAGGCACATAGCACCTCAAATGTTCAGTAAATATGGATGGACAGTGGTAGGGGGTTTGGGGGTATCTCATCTGCAACCTTTGAAGGATAATTTGATGTTTGAAAAGTCAGATCATGTTCTCAATTTCCAAGCAAAATAAAAATGTAGTAAATGAAATAATGTCCCTCAGTCTGTCACCAAGGTTAAGGATGCCAAATGAATAAGGAACTTCCTTTTCTCTGGAAGAGCCTGAAAGCATACTTGAGGTTTTCAGAAGTCACAGAGCATGCCTTGCACAGTATGACTTACAGTAACTGTAGTGAAATCTACTTTGCTCCAGAAAAACAAAATAAGGTTGTTTTTGCTTTTTTTTTAATTGAATGGTAACTGTGTACATTGATGCACTTTGCGGGTGCAGTGTGGTGTTTTCATACATAATCCAAGACACTTCCATCAAACTGGTTAACATAGCCTTCATGTAACTTTCTTAGTTATTATGTCAAAACATTCATATTCTACTCATATAAAGATTCACTTGTACCCTTGCAAGATGAACCACAGAAGTGAACCCTCGAATCCCTCTCCCTCCCCCCCCCTCCCCATATCCTTAGGTTGTTATTAGGTTATAGCTTTCATATAAAAAGGTTTAAATTAATTTCATAATAGGTGCAAAATAAGGTTTTTAAAGGTACATCATTTTCCTAATGTTTCACAATGTTTTTCTCTCCAACTTAGTGGTCAATTTTCTCTTGCGGTTGTTGGCCTGAACATAACATCCTTGGGTTTACGCTCCCTCAAGGAGATAAGTGATGGAGATGTGATAATTTCAGGAAACAAGAACTTGTGCTATGCAAATACAATAAACTGGAAAAAACTCTTTGGGACCTCTAGTCAGAAAGCCAGAATCATCAACAACAGAGTTGAGAACAACTGCAGTAAGTAATCACTTTATGTTTTGATTGTGGAGACGGTTCTAGTGGGTCATTTATTTTTATTTAGCTTTTTATTAAAGGATCATTTCCAAACATTTAAATTACTTTTTTCATTCATTAAGGAGCATATTGAAATCTGTATTTTCCTAATTGTGAAGTTCCCTTGTCAAGTTCATTAGAATTGTTTCCAGATCATTCTCATTTCATAGGATGAATTGTCCCAGAGGTTTAGGCTAGCAATTGTTTGTAAATTAAAAAACTAAATTTAGTGTTAGTGATACCATGTCTTAGCTGTCGATTGTTCCCTACTTAGACACACTCAGAGGATGGGTGAGCTTTTCACACTAACACCTCCTGTGTGTGTGTTATGACTTGGGAGCTCTGGGTCAGCACTGATGCTGGTGGGAGTGCCCTGGCCATGGCTGGGCCCCCGGCCCCTGGGAGAGACAGATCCAAGTTCAGATGCTGCTCTGACCATCTCTAGCTTTGAGATCTCAGTCAATTAATCTCTGTAGGTTTTGTATTCCTAATCCATAAAGTGGAGATAATGACGACTCCCACACCACAGAGCTATAGAAAGGCTTAAATACAATGCCATGCGCAAAGCTCTCAGCATGATTATAGCACAGAGCAGACTCCCTGACCTACGGTCTCCATACCACTCAGGACTGCCCAGGGTGTCCTGGGCACCCAGTAGGGAAGGGGGCCCCCCACAGTCAGCCTCCTGGAAGGACAGTTTGAGTCTCTTCCTTCCAGGCTCCCAGCACACCTGTGCTGCCCTAGGTCACTGAACACACAGCCCTCTTGCAGGAAAGTGGTGTCTCCACCGCTCCCTCTTTCCCTGCTCCCTGACTCCCGTGACTCACTGTGTCTCCCCAGAGGCCATGAACCACATCTGCAGTTCCCTGTGCTCATCAGAGGGCTGCTGGGGCCCAGAGCCGAGAGACTGTGTGGCCTGCCAGAACGTCAGCCGCGGCCGGGAGTGTGTGGGCAGGTGCCACGTGCTGGAGGGGTATGGCTGTCCTTCTCAACCCTGGTTCCATCAGAACTAAGACTCAGGATTGTTTTTATAGCTTTATAGTTATTCAGTTACATTTTGTTTTCTTTTATTTTTCCTTTGTTCTTTTTTTCTGGTGGGGGTATTGTTTGGTAGTATGTTTATTTTTTGGCACCCTGTTAATTACAGTAGGAAATAAGCAAACTATTCTTATTACTTAATCGAATCCAGTAACTTGCAGACTTTCTTTTCCTGAAAATATCTTCAATTTGTTAAGCTACACAAAGTTTACAGCCAACACCTTGGCTTTTTGGTCTTTTCTTTTTTTTTTTCAGCACACTAGTCCTAGTGTGTCAAAATGTTTTAGTACAAACCAGATTTCTGGTTAATTTTTGTGTTATGTACCCTGAGCTTGCACTCACCATTGAACAGTGCAAGTAACTTTAAATATTACCATGGACAAAGAAATAATTCATATAATGTTTGTTTAATTCAGTTGCAATCAATAAAAAGTATAATCTTTGGAAACCATGAGAATTTTGGTATTGATGATAAGGCTTTGAATGAGTACAAATAATGTTGAAAAATAAACAAGTAGGAAGATAAAATTGAAGGGCAGAAGAAATTTTTTTTTTAATTTAAACAAAAGAAGAACTTTTATGATGGAGAAGAGATATAGGAATTGCAGATGGTTGCAGAAAACCTCCCTTTCCAACTCATTGCCAGGAAGTGGGTCACAGCATGGACCCAGCAGTCTTCAGGAGCAGAAGGAGAGGACCAGATCAGTTCTGTGGAAGCCCCTTAGATTACAGGTTCAGCGTGATTAGAGTCACTGAGAGTGGTTCTAAAGTGTGAGTAGGGAATATTGGTGTAATTCTTCTGCAGATAGACACTCAGGTTTCCATTTTCAAGTCTCTTTTAAGAGACAAGGTAATTGAAGAGCCCCCATGGGATGCCAAGTCTCCTGGTAGTGCAGAGAACCCATGTCTGGTAGCACCTATACCCTGCAGGACTGGCCCTTTCAGCAGGGCAATGACCCAGAGAGGAAAGCAGAAGACACACCCTGTCCTGTTTGCTTTAATTGCTAAAGAGAGTCCTTATGGCACAAGCTGACTGTGCCTGTGCTTTAAGCAGTCCTTATGGCTGCTTGGTGGGAAGACTCCTGGTCAGAAACCAGGCACATGCCAGTCCTATGCACAGCCGCTTGTCTTTTCAGTCAAGCATTCTCTCCTAACATTGATGTCACATCTGGAGGAATGTTGAAAACAGTAGGGGCAAAGTCTTCCACGTGTGCTCTACACCTTACGAGTGTGCATGGGGCAGGTTTGCCATCCTCCTCCCTTCCCTTAGTCTGCACCTGCCATCTCTGCTCATCAGCCCTGTATCAGAGGCACAGGCTCCTCACAAGGACCTGGTTTTCTGTCTTTTGGGTTACTTACCCAAAAAATGCCTCTAGAAAGTACAGGATGACAAGTAAAGCTTCTGCGTTTATTCAAGGAGAAGATGACCAAGGATTCAGCTAATAAAATCAGTGTATTATAATATAATATAGTCCTAGGGTCCTGACTATTTGACCTTTCCTTAAAATTACTTTGAACTTCAGAGGGAGGTGGTTTGTGTCCCTGAGACGGTCTAAGCACCACACTGGGAAGTGGGGTGGCAGGGGGAGGGGGAGACACTGACCTGTCTCCTTGTCACCTCTCTCAGTGAGCCAAGGGAGTTTGTGGAGAATTCCGAGTGTATTCAGTGCCATCCGGAGTGCCTGCCCCAGGCCCTGAACATCACCTGCACGGGACGGGTGAGCAGCCCCTCAATGTCACTTGCTCCCACTCATGGGGAGAAGTCTTCATAAAAGCAGGACCACAACAAAGCCCAAGTCACCCGTAGCTAGAAAGGACCTTGCTCAGGGCTGCTCCCAGAGAGGGTACTGCAGCCTGGCAGCTGTGACAAGTGATCACAGAAGCACCTTCAGCTTTGCTGCTCAGCACCTCCACACTTTATCTAAGCCTACTTTAAAAACTCAGCTTACTTTGACTTAATAAATCCCCAAACTTAACAGTCACTCTTGTGAACCAGTTTCCATCACTCTTGTCTTAGCATCATAGCTTCATCATTTCAATCAAACATCCACAAATTCTTATTTAACATTAGTTTGTAATTAGTTGAGAGGTTTTTTTTTGCAGTTTTTGGTCGGGGCTGGGTTTGAACCCGCCACTTCCAGCATATGGGGCTGGTGCCCTACTCTTTTGAGCCACAGGTGCTGCCCAGTTGAGAGGTTTATAAAGAAACTTGAAAACTTTTTTTTCTTTTTTGAGACAGAGTCTCATTATGTTGCCACAGCTCGCAGCAACCTCAAACTCTTAAGGCTTAAGTGATTCTCTTGCCTCAGCCTCCCAAGTAGCTGGGACTATAGGTGCCTGCCACAACATCCAGCTATTTTTTTGTTGTAGTTGCCATTTTTGTCAGGCCTGGGCTGGAACCCACCAGCCCTGCCTGGCACCCTAGCCACTGAGCTATAGGCGCCGAGCCAAAACTCTAAAACATTTTAAAATTCACAGTTAAAGATCCCCATGTTCAGTAACAATCTTATAAAGAGTATTAGTGAGAATTCAGGTGTCTCTCATGCCAAATGTTGGTAGTGTTGTTAATTCTCAATATTATTCATATGGCAAGCTCTGTTTGGATTTGAGCTCCAAGAGCCATTTCTAAATTTACTAACTGAAAACAGTTTCAACATTCTGTGTAAATCAGGACTGCATTTGAAGGGCTAGACTGCCAACATGGCTGGCCACATAACAACTATCAGTTTGCAGGTCTGTGTGGTGTCGGGGTAAATGTTTTGTTTTTTATTCATGCTCCATTGCCCTGAGTGTACTCCTGTGGCATCACAGCTCACAGCAACCTCAAACTCTTGGGCTCAAGTGATCCTCCTGCCTCAGCCTACCAAGTAGCTGGGACTACAGGCACTCGCCACACCACCTGCCTAATTTTTCTGTTTTTAGTGGAGACGGGGTTTTGCTTTTGCTCAGGCTGGTCTGGGACTCCTGAGTTCAAGCTTCCACCTCTGCCTCCCATGATGCTAAGATTACAGGTGTGAGCCACTGCTCCTGACCTGGCTTAAATTTCTGTCATTAAACTAATCAGTGATACTGGCTTAGTCATCTGGCTGTGCTGGCTTTGGACACACATTAGAGAAATTAGCTAAGCAAAAGATCCTTTCTTAAAGGCTTTATTTCAGACCCTTATAAAGTGTGGGCCACACTACCCGGGCAGTCCCATGCTTTTATCTCTGTGAATTTTGCAAGAGCAAATATGATGCAGGACACCACGCATTGTGCATCCACCCGAGCCCCTGCCTCCTTTCACTGGCTGATTTTCTTACACACTTGCCTCGGAGAGACTGGCTTTCTTCAGAGCTTTCCTGAAACGTCCAGCATTATGTGTCAAAAACACTGTCTGCCCAGTCAGGACATAAATATGCATGTAGGCCAAAAATGGAGACTTTGACCAGGAGAGATGCCCACAGTGTATTTTCCAGTCTCCTGGTGTCCGTGTACATTACACACATTCTAAGTCAGGAAGGCTATCCACTGTGAGCACCAGTAGCCATCTTGCAGCAAGTGCAATCACAGAACTTGTTTTCCACTTTAATGACTTTTTATCACTTGTTTTTTTTCTTTCTCACACTAAATATTTTAAGTAAAGAGCTACTTCCATTTTGGAAACATAAATAGAAAAGACAGAGACATACATAAAGGTCCTCTCCACTTGGTGCAGGGACCAGACCACTGCATCCAGTGTGCTCACTACGTCGACGGCCCTCACTGTGTCAGGACCTGCCCTGCGGGAGTCATGGGGGAGAACAGCACCCTGGTCTGGAAGTATGCCGACGCCAGCCACGTGTGCCACCTGTGCCATCCAAACTGCACCTATGGGTGAGTGGAGCTCTGCATCCTAGCCAGGGAGTGCACCAGAGTAGATGCTGCTTCTGCAGATTCATAGATTGAAAACTTACAGAGATTTGTATCTGAGTCACTTACAAACAATGTTTTGGCCCCAGGGCCGTGGTGGGACATGTCCTGGGTGGATCTTACAGCTGGGAAGAAAAGCTGTGTGCTGCCCTGGAGCACTCGCAGGCCAGGGCTCTGTTCCTCATGCTACACGTCCTGACAGGAGGGTGGTGAGTGGACAGTGACAGCTCATGTCCTGGCAGCTGCCACCCAGCACCTCTAACAGGTTTTCATGGATCTCTGCAGATCACTAGGGTTGGTGTACGGTTGTTTTTTTGAGTTGTTTTGTCATAAATAGAAGATAACACTGCCCCAGGGCTGCTTACAGACACTTTTCTTTCTTAGCTAGTTGATCATTACATTGTTACTACTTGAATTTAAATTATTTTAACTGAAATTAGCAGAAGTGCTCTGATTGTATCTTATTTACTAGAATAAAAAATTTGACAATCAAACTGGACTCAAGAATCACAAGACAGGAGAATCAGAGACAGGAGTTGAGTTGTCCTATACACTACACTAGGTCATGTTTCCTCGCATTTCTCAAAATCCCCAACCTGTTTTGGGGCTTTTTTTCCCCCTTCCTTTGGGTCTAACACCAGTCATGTGGCCTTAGACAAGTGTCTTTTCCTCTGTGCCTCTCCTTTCCCACCCATGAATCAGGATAATAATGCTGCATAGCTCACGGGATATTAATGACTGTGAGTTAACGTGTGTGATGTGCTTGAAACAGTGCCTGGGGCAGGGTGGGTGCTGGTCAGAGATAACACTGCTGCTGGTGGTGGCAGTGATTGACTGTGACATTATAATGATAAGTGAATTTTCTAGAAAGACAATCACATTTCCCATATGATATCTTAATCTCTTTTCCAAAAGTAACAGATTGTCTAATGAAGGCCAAAAGAGTATTTCACTGTTTCCAGAGTACTGTCAGGCATGTGGTAATGGACATCCGAGTTTTACATCTGATGGTGATGGGAATGACTGTCATATCTAATATTAAAAGCAATATTTGCTATTAGTTTGAGATACCAAGTATCTTATTGAGAAAATATTTATCTATACTTAGCTCTTTTTTTTTTACTTTATTTTATTTTATTTATTTATTTATTTATTTTTATTAAATGATAGCTGTATACATTAATGCAAACATGGGGTACAGGGTAGTGTTTTCATATACATTTTGAAATACTTTCATCAAGCTGGTTCACATAAATTTCATGTCATTTGCATAGTCATTGTGTCAAAACATTTACATTCTAGTTCTAGAAAAGTTCACTTGTACCCTTGTTAGACAGAAATAGAGGTGATCTTTCCGTTCACCCACCCACCACCCAGCCACCCTTCTCCCCTCCCCTTCCCCACCCCCTCCCCATATTCCTGGGCTAGAATTAAGTTGTTTCTTTCATTTGAGAAGTATATATTAGTTTCATAGAAGGG